TTCTAAATAATTAATGAAAATAATACTTAGCCAAAAGTTTTGCTCTTTCAGTTGATTTTTCTCCTGATGCAAAATGCCATTTCAGATTCTCATTAGTTTCACACTGAACTAAAAGAGTATTTTGATATCTCTCAACAAGATTTTCAAATAACTTTTGATTTGAGTGTTGTATTTGTCATATACATATGATTCTATGAAAAAAAAAAATAATAATAATCGCAATTTCAAGTTTTATTTCTGAAAAATCTACTTTGTAAAGCTTTGGGGATTAGTGGGGATTATGAAACATTAATACTTTATTGCAACCATCAAAAAAGGATAATGCACAAAATAATTTTAACACATTGCATTTAGAAACCACATCAACATTAATCATTAATGTAAAAGATTGCCACTATTTCCACTATAACAAACACAATTTATAAGGTATGTTCTATATCAAATTTTTTAAAAGTCCATTATACACAAGAGATTTTATTAAGAAGTCCACTATAACAAACAAATTTTATTATAAAGAGAATTGAGGAAATAAAAAAGTCCACTATAAGCAAAATCCACTATAACAAGATCCACTATAATGAACTTTGACTGATATGCTGTTTAAAAAGTAGAGAAACCTAACAATATTGATTTTTTTTTTTTTAATAAAATAAAATAGTTTCATATATTTTTTGATGTCTTTCACATTTCAAATTAGTGAGCAGTTTGAGTTTTGTAAATTTCTACATTTTTATTTTTATTTTTCCCATTACATATGTAAACTTGATAAGTTGGTCATGTGGGGGTGAGCTCATATGACCGACTTATCAAGTAAACTGACTTATCAAGTGACCAACTTATCGAGTTTACATATGTAGTATTAATTAATCCTAAAATTTTAAAACTAACTAGATTTAATATAAGACACATTTTTACTTGTAAAACAACATTTTTATTTATACTATTTGATATGAAGATTGTTACTTAAATTATTTTCAATGATCTGTAAGGGTTAATATAAAAAATAATAATTATATTTATAAAATGAGTCACATTATAATAAATAGAGATTACTCCAAAAAAAAAATTTTTTTTAAGTATTAGTATTGTGGTGGTGATAATCACCACTGGTGAGAAATAGCAATCCCCATAGGAAAATGTGAATTTCAGGTAAAATTCCGTACAGTTTTCCATACATTTTCCATACCAAATTTTTTATAGGGCAGAAGATAATACAAAGAATATAGCATTCTTGGAGGTATATCATCCAGAAGAGATTAATTCTCAATATATAATTTGGGTTGCAGGAAAAGGCTTTACAGCAATAGATCATCCTTCTGAAATCAGGCTGCAGCTTCTTTTTTTTTTAACACACTGTAAATAAAAAATCGCATTTTTTTAATATGGCACAGACATCAAAAAAATTGTGCAACTTCAAACCACTATGGCTTTTTTTTTTATTAATAAAATTGAAAAAAACTTTATATTTTTATAATCTTTAGAACTTAAGTAACAATGAGAGTTTTTTTCAATTTTATTAATAAAAAAAAAAGCCTTATGGTTTGAAGTTGCATAATTCTATATACTATCAAAAATGAAAATTTGGGCACAAGATGTTAGTAAAAGATAATCTGAACACGTGATCAGAACGGGAGCCACAAATTCCATACGTTGCAATCAATTGAGGAGCCATCTTTAGTCTTAGTCTTAGTATTATTATAGGCGATGCAATTATTTTATTTACAACAAATTATTCCCTAATATCGTCCGGTGCAATTATTTTTTTAAAATGGTCACCCCGAGGTGCAGATCTAGAGATGTGAAGTGCGCATAATTTTTTGCAATGTCTCATACATAATAATAATTCTATTCAAAAAACAATGCGAATTTTTAATTTTTACCAAGTTATTAATGGTATTTTTAAGGAATGACAAAATCAAAAACTTGGTCTCATTTGTTAAACTGGGTAGAATTGATAATTTCAGCTCTTATTTCATCAGCTTTGGTTCTAAAAGGGTTTAGTTTATTTTTTCCTTATAAATGATAAAAAGAGAAATAAAATATTGACGCCCGAATGTGTTTAAATTGGTATATTTTAATTACGAATTAAAATGACCAAAAAATACCAACAACGATAATATGGATATTACAATTGATGGTGATGGAAATGTGGGAATCGAGAATGATGATGATGATGAAACAATTAGAATAGAAAGTGGTGAAGAAGAAGGCAGTGGTAGTGATAATAATATTGAAAATTGTATTTAGATATTTAATTTATATTTTTTAAAAAAAAACCAATTTAAAAAAATGCAATGCACACAATACGCATGACGCGATGCAAGTTTTGGAATGTCTTTCAGGTTGTACTATTGTTATATGTTTTTTTCCACCAAATATTTTATACAGTGAATAATGCAACACAACCTTTCTTTATCGTCTATTCTTGATAATACGGGTAATAATAGATTAAAATTCACGTATATAGTCAATCTGAATTTCGTATCCCAAACATATTAATAAAACACGATTTGATTTTGAATCGGAACAAAATTATTAACAATGATTGAGAATTAATAATAATAAATAGTTAATATCAATATTACATTTTAATACATTATAAAAAAAAAAGTGAATAAACTAACTACACGATTATTTTTCATATATTAAATATTGAATTATTTTATAACAAAAATTTTATACATATTGTTGAAAAATCCAAAGCAATATTTTACTTAGTTTCAAATGAATATTCTCTCCCTAATATCATGTGCATGTGAAGCTACCGGGAGTACAAGATTTTCCATGAGGACAACACCCTCCAAAATCATCTTTACAGCAATAATAGTCCTTCTCCGTACAACATGTACCATTTGTACATTCAACTAGACAAGTTTCAGTCTTAATAGTTATAAGAGGACTTGCGCGAGCTGGTGCAGGTAGAACAGCAAAAGCTCCGAAGGTTCCGAAAGACACAAGAACAAGAACAAGGATTAAGATAAAATTCTTCATTTGAAAATGCGTCGGAATAAAGATATTTTTATATTTAGATTAATTCAATGTAAACAGAAATATGATTTTAATAAATGTGTTAGAATAAATAATGATTATAATATGAAAAATATTGATTTTTGAATTTTTTGATGAAAAGAAGATGGGTTTAAACCCTTTTTATAAAGAATTGAAAGGGGAGGTTATTTCCTTTTCATTTTAACAATGATTTTTAATACGCAAACAATTTAAAAAGGTATTCGAGTTCCTATTCTGTGGCTGTAAATATTTGCCAACTTATATTTTACGAACATTTAGAATTTTTTTACCAGTGTGCTTAGGTACACGAAATTACTAGTTGGACAAAAGTAATAATCAATCCTTTTTAATAGGAGTGTAACAATAATTTTTAAATTCCAATTCTATATATCATTGTAGAAATGGTATTAACCATTTTTGTGTGGCAAGAAATTGTGGTACAATTGATTATGGAAATGGCTGATGGTAAATTTGTATATAATCAATCATAAATTAGTGTTATATTAATTTTTCCCAAAAAAAAATATTATTTATTTTAGTAAAACTTCAGTCGAATTACCAAAGAAAATTTGAACGTCATTCCTCCAATATTCTCTAAAGCCAATCAATAAATAGTGTAATTATGATATGGTTGTTCTTTGTGAACATTTATTTTGATATACACTGTTGTGTTCAAAAAAAAAATTTTTTTCGCTTTGCATGATAATAAACGTTCATTGCATGTCGTTTGAAACAAATCACGCGGTGCAAAAACTTTCGCTTCTGAAAAAAGAATTCATGTAATAGACTGGCCATCCAACAGTCCTAACATTGAAAATATCATAAAAAATAACGTTGAAAAAGGTATGGCAAGGAGTGTTGACGAATTGAAGAATTCCTCGGGAAACGGACAAAAAAATTTTTTTTAGAAAAAACGACAATAGAATTTTTTGGCTTTCAAATGAATCCAGTTTTGTTTATCTACCTTGAATAATTGTTAAAGTCCTAAAGGTTCTCGTGTAAATAATATGCAGAAAATACATACAATATATTTTTTTGTTTAATAGAACACTTTTGTGTTCAGAAATTAAACAGTAGGGTTTAATTGTCCGTTTGGTTATCATAGCGATATAGAACTCTGAGGTTTCGAGTATTTGTTTTGGTATAAAGCAAAGGTTTGGTTTTTGTTTTTGTTATGCATAACATTTTTGTTTAACTTTTTGTAAACGGGTTTAATTGAAACGTAAGGTGTTAATAACAATTGGCAAAAGTATCTTATTGATCGGCCATCTATACAAAAAGCTAACAGTTATCGTCATCACATATTGTATTATGTTAAAATAATTGTTGTAAACGCACGTCTGACTTTAATCGACCAAAGAGAAGTAAAAATTAAAATAAATCTATAGGAGCCTTTGTTGCTTTTATTATAATTCTTTGTTATTTGTAGCCTTCTAAGTACAAGAAAGAGATAGTAAGCAGGATAAGTTCGTAAGATAAATTAATTAACAAGTGCAGCTAAAATGTTTAACTCAAACTCGGCCATGCAATGTAAAATAATTGAGGTTGACCAAAAAGCTACCTCGCAATATTCCAAACATTTTATGTTTAAGGATTTTTTCAGGACTTTAGGTCCCAGAATTTAAGTCTGATCCGGTCCCATGATAGGACCACCAAAACCGGACGGTTAAGGACCGATTAACATCTCTAGTTTTGAAACAGTCAGGGGTTTTACTAATTTGGATGTTGCAAATGAATTAACGACTAACATATTGGTAAAAAAAAATTATTAATTGGTGATACGTGAATGAAACAGAGAAAGATCTGCGTTATAACAGTAAATGTGCACAAGATGAATAAAATTAATCTCAAAAAATAATTTTATCTAAAAATTAAGATAGTTTGTGTGATTAATAAAGAATTTCTATGTAGTAAACACAGATTTGAGGGTCTCCCCGATTCATTTACGAATCAGCAATTTAAAAACCTCTAATTATAACCATTGAAATAAATACTGTTCGAGTCGCTCTTTCATAATCTGTTAATCTGTTCAAAGTATGATTTTACTAAAAATCAAGGAATTTTGCATGGCAGGGTTTTGTTTTTTCTCTCTGAACAAATACATTTCTATCTTTCAGCTATGATCCAACGATCCAATGGGTATTGAAAGTTATATAAGAGGAAAAGTTTTGGAATTGTACCATTATTTTTTTTCTTCTAAACATTAACATTATAACTTTAAACATAATGATCAAGTATTATATATTACTGGCAAAACATTCTTATTTATGTGGTAATATACTTAAAGAAATAAGTAATCTCAACTGCTTCCAATACTACTGTAATATAAAGATAGAAACAATACATTACTATTATTATTATAATGAAAAAAAAAAAAAAAATCTTTGCATACGCTTGACACTTGGTGGCAGGGTTGGCATTTTTAGGTGTCCAATTAATTTTTATTTGGATTTGTCCTGTCCAATTGTCCAAATGCCGCAGTAACTATTAGTCCAAATTACCTAATACAGTAAATTGGACACAAATTGGACAATCGGACAAGGGGTATTTGGACAGATTTGCCAACACTGCTTGGTGGACAAAAGTTTGCGTCCAAAATTCCTTTCGAATTTATTTCAAAACTATATTAATTAAAATATTGTGATCTTTATATCATTCGAAAGCTCTTGTTCTTGGAATATGTTGTGACATTAAATTTTGAAGTTTTTCATAAAAAAAGATAAAAATAAAAAATAAAAACCGAAAAATAACGAAATGTTGATAGATAGATAGAGGGCTTATTTTTTATTTCAAAAAAAATATATTATTTAATATCTAATTGGCCAGCCGATTGTTGACGATGCAATATTCAACCCTTCAGGGTATACTGTCAATTAAATTTAAATTCGCATTTGGTGGACAAAAGTTTGCGTCCAAAATTTCTTTTGGATTTATTTCAAAACTATACTAATTAAAATATTGTGATCTTTATATCATTCGAAAGCTCTTGTTCTTGAGAATATGTTTTCGACATTAAATTTTGAAGTTTGTTATAAAAAATAAAAAATAAAAAATGATGTAAAATAGCAAAAAAGTTTGTTTTTAAAACAATTTTGAAAAATGGGAAAGAACTGTAGATTGATAAACAAAATAAACATATATTTGTGTATATATTTGCGATGCAAGTTTTGAAAATGTCTTCCAGATTGTACCATTGTTATACGTTTTTTCCCACCAAATATTTTAACAATGAGTAATGCAACACAACCTTTCTTGTATCATCTATTCTTGGTAATACGGGATAATAATAGGCTAAAATTCACGTACATAATCAATTTGAATTTCGTATCCAAACAAACACCTATCCCAATAATAATAAAACACGATTTGATTTTGAATCGGAACAAAATTATTAACAATGATTAAGAATTAATAATAATAAATAGTTAATATCAATATTTTTATTATTACATTTATACATCATAGAAAAAAGCGAATAAAATATAAACCAACTACATGATATTTTTCACATACTAAAAATATTGAAATATTTATAACAAAAATTTTATACATATTGATGAAAAATCCAAAGCAATATTTTACTTATTTCAAATGAATCTTCTTTCCCTACTATATCAATAGTATGAGCATGTGTATGCATGAGGAGTACAATATGATCCATTTGGACAACACCCTCCAAGTTTATCCTTACAGCAAAAATAGCCTGTACTACAGCATTTATGATGTTTACATTTATTAGCAGCTGGGCAATAAGACTTAGCATTAACACTAAAAGCAGGATCTGAGCGACTTGCTGGAGTTATAGCAGCTAAAGCTCCGAAGGATCCGAGAATAAGAACAAGGATTAAGATAAAATTCTTCATTTGAAAGTGCGTTGAAATAAAGATATTTTTATATTTAGATTAATTTAATGTAAACAGAAATATGATTTTAATAAATGTATTAGAACAAATAATGATTATAATATAAAAATATTGATTTTTGTATTTTTTGATGAAAAGAAGATGGGTTTAAACTGAGGCTTTTTATAATGATTTGAAAGTGGAAGTTGTCTCCTTTTTAAAAACTATCATTATGGAATTAATTTTAACAATGATTTTTAGTCATATCAATAAAAAAAGGTATTCGCTTAGGAATTTTCTATTCCACAAATTAAGCATGCAGTAAATATAAATATTTGCCCAACATATTTTACAAATCTAAATGTTAGTTGCAAAAAGGCGTAAACCTTTGAAAATGTTACGTAAAAGTATTTTTAACAATGAAATTTGAATAATGCATTGAACGACTATTTTGTTTGAATGAAAAACTAATTCGAATAAAGTCCATCAGTTGATAATCTTTTTACTAAAAAAATCTATTCTTGATATTTATGCGTCAGACGAAGAGCTTGAAATAGATCTTGAAAAAGATGAAGTTGGTCGATATTTACAACTATAATCAATTACAAAATTTCAATATTAATATTGTCTCTATTGTCTCTATTATTGTTGTGAAATGAAATCTATGTGAGTTTGCATTTCCAAATTAAATCAACCAACATTAACCTAGAAAATTGTTATTCATGAATCTTGTTCCATTCATGTTTCTTTAATGAATGAATAAACAAAACTCGTTAAATTCATAGGTCTGGTACAACAAATTTTATGAATGTATTGTATTATGCCATTATCGAGAGTCGTTCTTTAATGAGAGTGATATAATAATAATGACTTATAAAAAGAAAGAATATTCATAATTCCCACTTATTATTAGCCAAAAGCTCTTCGTAAATTCTACGTTTTTCAAGAAAAGATAAATTCTTTTTTGTTATCATCATCTGTATTTTTACGGTTAACTTGAAACTTGAATTCATTTTTCAGGAATTTACTACTTACGTTACACGAGAGAGGCGATGATGACATAATGAATTTATCGAATACGGATTTAACAAGCTTTGACTATAATCAAATAAACTATAATGAATTAAACAAATTAGGGAT